GAATATGATAACAACCAAAAAAACAAAGATAAAAAAGAACATGCAAGAATACCGAGAAAACACCCGAGAGGTCGGATAAACAAATTTATGGAGTTGCACCAAATCACTCTGAAACGAGCAAAATACACAGAAGAATATGTGTTTAACGTGTCGTGTCACTTGAGTTTAGTGGCGAAGCAATGTTATGGCCCCTCAACTTTTTGAAGTTATACATTATACTCGTAGAATTATATTTTTTTATCACATTTTATATGCTACTTAAATTCTTAATATTATACTTTATACATTTGATTATAGTATTACCTTTTATTTTATTATCTAAAATATTGAACCATTTAACTATTAAAATTGTGACATTTTTCATAAATCATTAAATTTTGATATTATATAAATTTTAGATTATTCTAAATTATTAATAGTGCAATATAATCGAGTCAATAATATATTGGTAAAGTGAAATTAATGTCATAACTAAAAGGACAAATTATAATATATTTAAACACTGTGTATGACTATATAATGTAAGGTTATGATTTCAATTTGGGTACTAGTGATTATACGACACCTTAGGAGCTTATCAGTAGTCATGTCAAATTTTATTTCATGCGCCTTACCCATTTACAATTGAATATGATCATATTCATATTGTCAAATTCGTATCGTGTATAAATCATGTTTAGTGAGTTCATATGATATGAAATTTTTTGTTGTGTATAAATTATAGTTAATGAATTCATGTCAACCCATTTATTTAATTACTTAAACCAGTGAAGACTAAACACGAACTTGATAATTTTCTATGGGGGAGTGTGGAGTTCGGGTGAAGAATTGTCGTGCGTGCAGAGAATCTTCCAACATGCATAAGAAGCTCATATTAGTTGTTGAATCCGACAGATTCTTGAACTTTGAACGAAGACAACGTAAGGATTAAAACGATGATTAAACAAATGACTAAGCAATTAATGTGATCTAACAACAAATACCAAAAGTGGAACACTAAAATAACCTTCCACCTCTGGAGAAACTTAAATGGCACGCGTCAAAATTTTGTGTATGTTTTACTTAATGTGATTATCGATTTCAAGTTTTTAACCTTTTTTTTTTTTTTTGTTATCATTAATTTTTTTTTTATTACAGGGTGTCTAAACTTGCATCGATTACTCCTGCAAACTCAGTAGTTAATTATTATGTCTTGAGTTAAGTTAAAACATGTCTCTAAAAATGCAAGAGTAGTTAGTCTTAGGATGTGTGAGAAGAAATTAAACTTGAGACCTTTAAATTTTTTGTTATCATATGTTAACAAGGAAAATTTTGCAAAAACAATCAAATATTCTCAGCACTGAATGTAATCTATCTGCTAATCCAACAGTAGCAATGCATTAGGCTTATAAAGTGGGTCCTTGCGTGATGTTTGAAATATCAGTGCTTTTTGTGTTATTTTACAAAAAATTTGAGGTTGTCAATGTAATTTATCCCAATAATTTAGGTGTGGCCTGGCCTGCTCGTGAGATAGAGGACAAGTGAGTATCCGGAGATGTATGGCACCAAGGACCGTTACCCCCCAACCCCGCCCCCCCCACCCTATCACGGGCTAATTAATCGAAGTGATCCCACGTATCCCCTCCACCCCCAACCCCCACCCCCACCCACCAACAAAAAAAAAAAAAAAAAAAAAAGCGAAAGAGGCTTGAGGACTAGGACTGTTAAACGATCCGGAGGGTTCACGAGCATCTCAGATTCGACTCGATTTTAGTTCAGTTCAACTTCACTCATATATATCAATATATATACTATTTATAAATGTTAACATTTGTGAAAAAAAATTAATTTTTAATTTTATACTTGATTATTATAATAAAATTAATTATATTCACCTATATACTTTCATCTAATTTTTATTTTTTATTTATATTTGACTTTTAACTTGTTTTAAACTCTTTTATAAGAATTTTTAAATTTTTTTGAACTCAGTTATTAGTAATACAGTTATATACATTTTTGTATATCTATATGAAAAAGTAATGTTTTAAATATGTTAAATTACTATCTACATATAGTTATTAGATTGAATTTCACGGTCAAATATATATTTTATTTTATTTTTTGGTATGAAATAATATAATAATATAATAAGTAATCTAATCAATCTATTTAATAAAATAAAAAAGAGATTTCTAAATAAAAACCATATTAAGTACTCAAAAATTTAAAGAATAAAATTATAATTAAATTTAGTAAAAATTAAATTTTGAGAAGAGTATTTTGAAAGGGAAGTTCAAGTTATAATAATAGCGAGTTGTAAATTCAAAAATTTTGAAATTAAATTTTGATAATTTATTGGAATTAAATTATGAGATATTTATAATTTGTGAATACTTTGTTGAAGAATGAATTAGTTGAGGAGCGGGTAAAGTAATTTGTACATGGTTGACCGTTAAACACAAAACAAAATAGAAGTGGGAAACAGTGGAATAAGCTAATTGGGAATCAGAATAGAGGAAGTGACTTGACTATGATATCGAATAAAAATAAATAAATAAGTACCGGAATATTTGGACCACAAGTTGTACAACCCCAGAGAGAGGGAGGTTTTTGGAAGCTACATCCACGTTGATCACATGAGAGGAAGAAGTGACACTCTTCCAACCCAATTGAATGCTACACAAAAAACCAAAAAGCAGGTTGTGGTGCTCCCAATGTTTTGTAGAACGACTCTTGCCATAAATACTCAAATAGTACATGAACGACACACGATTCCTTGGAAATTTAAGACCACAAAATGTCCCCCATAGAAGAAATGAGCAATAAAGAGGAAGAGTCCATCAAAAAAACAAAGAGGAAGAGTAATATTAGAGTGATCTAAAAATTTAATTTAATAATATATTTTTATTTTAATTATTAAATTAATATTAATTTTTTAATATTTAATGACACTCACAATTAATTTAAAAGTTATAACAAATTAAATCAATAAATTAGATACAAATAACATTGTTCAACTTAATATTTTAAAGTTACAACTTAATTTTCAAAAAATTGTAACTTTAACGTAGATTGAAATGTTTTAAGATTAATCATGCATTTTTACAAGATGTAACTTATACTTCAAAAATTTATAATTCTACCATTAAAAATTATAATTTTTAGTATGATACTGATGATAATACCGTAAACTTCTTAAATTCAATCCAAATTTGTTATGTCTATCACAAGTTTTTAAAATCAATTCCAAATTCTGCGACTTGGTAAAAAATCCAACTTTAACCTCTTTTTTCGTGAAGAGTTACTGACGTACCCGACTGGAAAACAAGATAAGCGTCACGAATGATAAGAAGCAAACAATAGTAATAATTGGATCAAATACTACAATACCAAACAGTACCAAAGATTTTTCTTCCTCCTAATGACACTGACAATTTAGCCTTTTGCAATAGTCACAATCTTCAGCAACGACCAAGTATACATCTTGCGGAAAATCTTGTCACTTAAGGATAGGAGAGTAGTCAACAGCGACGGAAGATTGACATCCACAGGCAGCCATATAAAAACAGTAAACTTCTAATGCGTCCAGATGATGAAACCAAAAGCGCATTTGCCTCTACCTCTCCATGCGCTGCCGCAGGTGCCAGATCAACAACCAGGGTTGGCTCTAGATGCGCTGGCAGAAGTTCCCTCTCCCGCTCATATGAATTCTGGAAGGTAGATTGGGGGAGAGGGCCTCTCTCACGAATATATTCAAACCTAATTTGCAAGAATAAGGACAAGAGGGAGCTACCCTTGTCTAATACCTTTCTTTGAAAAATCTTATTCCAGCTTTGAGAGCAAACCAAACCACAATAGCATTTGCCTATATATCACTTGCAGAGTGAAACAACACCCCAAAATATATAAGTCAAGTGTTACAAGTCAAATGAGGAACAAAATACATTACGGGTTCATGTTTGGGAATCAACCTCCCCAACATAGAGGTAAATTGGGCTACCACTCATCTCATGCAAACCCTGTTACCTGTGGGAGCCTAACACACCGGAAACAATTTCCTCTCTGGCTTAATCTGGCTTAACCCAACATGAAGATGGTTCAGATATACCAAAGGCGTAGAATTCACCAACTATTTTGGTATTCTTTTCGGACTGGTTTCTGTGCAGTATTGCTTAACAGAATCCATTGCTAAAAAAGTCTTTCATTGTCATATCCCAGAAAGCAATGGCAGGTGAAGCATGGCAAAAAAATTCTCACGAACAAAAATGAAATTTCATAAACACCTTACCAAAAAAAAATGTCACAAACCTCACAAACAACCGAGATAACATAATAAAAACTGTTGATCAGCTAACAGCAAAAGCAATATTCATTGTTAGGCACATCTAACTGTACTTCAGAGCATCAAGCCAAGCCTATTATCCAAGTAATGGTGAAGTTTTTAACTGCCAGTTGCCCATGGTACTGAAGGAGTTCAATCTGCACAAGTTGGTGTGACTGGCAGGTGATTGCTTGCATCTTTAGTGTGTATTACAGTCATGAACCCCAAAAAGTGTGGTTGAGACGATTACCCGTTAGCAATTACACTGAAAGAAGCTCAATAACAACTAAGTACATATACTAGAAAAGAAAGGTGAGGTCATTTACAAACAAATCACTTCATAGAATAGCACCAGTAGAATGCAACTAATCATATGGTCTTTTAAACAGATCAGCTGTGATCTGGAATTTGATCTTCCACTAAGCCTAACTATCCAATTCAGTGGAAATGATTATAGTCCAATATGCTCTTATGGTATAGCCAACCAAAGTACTTCATCATAGTATACCTTAATATTCATTATCTGTGGCGAAGATTTAACGTTCTATCATCAGTTTGCTCCCAAAATCATTGAAGACCAAAAGACATGCCGGCACCCATGACTGAACCTCTATCACAAACACTAACAAGAAATAATCACATCCTTTGTTGTTCAGTTTTTGCTATACAGCAGCAAACTCTGTTTCTTCTCCAAAAATTAGCCACCTCCAGACTTGAGTGTATTACTCAACCTATATAATACACCAAAGAAAACAAGGAAGGGTGACGACAAAAGGAAATAATCTCAAAGATTTTTACAATAACAACGAACAAATGAAACAAGTCTTATTCACAATCCACACTGATTTTAGCATGTGTGATTCCAGTTTTAGGCTTGTAGGAAGCAGGAGAGGGAGGGCAAGTGGAAGGAGTACGAGTCGTAAGGATTTTAAAAAACACAAGATTGCCGCTTTTAAGAGACATGACAGCAAATGAAACAGAAACAACATTAAATCAAAAAGTTTCTACAGATTGAATGGAAAAGACAGTCAAAAGATAGTAACGAAATATTCATATTTCAACCCATATGGCACACAGACTGAACAGAAACCTTTCAGGTTCCTTCATGAGCTTTCAAAAACCAATTGTTAGTGGCATCCAAATGCGATATTCAATTAGCTCATGATAAGTCAACTTATCATGGAAGAGGCCAAAAAATTGTAAGCTATTACAAAAAAAAATTTAGAGCAACACAACCAAGAGTCTATAGACCACTTATAATGCTAGCAGCATTTAGAATGCTGTTAGTTATCACCAATAAAATTTAGAAAGGGTTATGCATGAAAACAACTAAAATTTTTGAACATCATCAAAGAATCAGCTTACCAGTCCAAGCCCTCAAATAGACCTTCTCCTTTTATGGCAGAGGTTTTAAAAATTGCCCACTGGCGGTTCTTAATCTTGTGCAACTCCAAGGCATCTGTTACCGCAGCATCATCAAGTGCACCAGGAAGATCCTGTAAACCAGAAAATGCACAAATAAGGATAAAACTTGTCATTTTGGAACAAAGGCTTTAATCTCATGGCATACTTCTCATTAATGTCGAGGTGCAGTTTGCGTTTATCAAACAAAACCACAGAGAAGGAACAACAATGCAAAAAAGTTAAACCTGCTTGTTTGCAAAAATGAGACCAACAGCACCTTTTAACTCTTCCTCCTGACAAATGCACAAATATGTAAATTTGCAATCCCATATTTATTTTGAGCTTTGAAAAAAGTACAGGTCATAATATGAATATGATAAATTATGCATTTGCAAACTGAACAAAAGAGTTGGTGGCAGACTACCTCCAAGATTGCATGAAACTCCTCCTTAGCAATTCCTAGCCTATCAGTATCGCTGGAATCGACTACATATATTATTGCTTGAGTATTTGGAAAATAGCATTGCCAATATGGTCTGGGGAAAGCAAACAAATCAGCTGGCAAGCTTATGAGTTGGATGCAAAGCATTAATTTGGGAATTAATTAGATATTATGAAGCAGACCAAGTTTGCAGAAAACATTCTTAGACAATAAAAGAATGATGTCAAGTAAATTTCCCTTGTGCAAGTAAGAATCACAAATAACACCAGTAAGTTTTGAACTCATTTTCCATTTAGACCAATTCTAATGTGTTTGGGTAACTTCATAATCACGTAATAAGGAGCACAAATAAGAACATGAGAAGCGGATGCAACAAATCACGCATCGATGAACACTACAAATAATTGTATTTTATGTTTCAAATATTTAGATCATATATTCTACAATATGTAGATATAATTTAGTACTACACAAACATTTACAAAAAACCCGTATTTTATGATTAGCAAATTTTATCTTTTTCAGACTAATACAGATTTATTTCAGGCAAAAGGCGCATTGAAGTGCCAAGGACTCTAGGGCCTATAGGCATAGAGATGTGAGGCAAGGCGTGGGCTTCATCGAAGTAAGGCGCATTTTGTAGATAATGTGAAAATTATAAATTAGACTGCAAATACAACAAAATGCAAAAAAAATTTAAAAAGATAAAAAGGCAAGTGCTATCAACAATATTCTGCAAAATATAGCATAACAAATACAACTCATTTGAACTAATTTCAGTAAAATAGAACAAATTACACCAAGATTTCGAGCAAAATTTATTTAAACCAAGATTTCGAGCAAAATTTATTTAAGTTTCAGCAAACTACCCTTAGATCTTGAGAATGTTACGCAAAATGCAACAAAATTAAAAGTTATTAGTATTCTTAACCAATGTCAACTAAGTCAAACAATTGGGTAAGGCGATTTCGTGTTGAGTATTAGCTGGTTCAAGTTTCCAACTTATTATTTTTATAAATTACACTCTTGAATTAAAAGTATAGTCATAATGAACAACAAAGTAAATAGTGAATAATTTTATTTGAGAGCAATTATTTAGTATTTAAGTAAATAATGAATGATGAATAATAACCTATATTACTCAACTTAGTATTTAAGGCTTAAGTAAATAACTTTTTTTTTTCCGAGGAATATGCACCTAACTTTCAAAGTCCAGATTTTTTTTTCAAATAAAGTGGGTGGATGAGCTGGCAATGCGGGTTGTGTTTTAGCGTGTTTTTGCGGGTTGGCTAACGGGCCAGGTTTCGGCCCGACTACTGGGCTTGGAAAAAGTCCAAGGCCTCTCATGAAGAATATTGGGCTCAGGTTCGAGCGGACCAACTATCAAGCCTATCAAGATTCGGACTTATTTTTAAAAGATGGGTAACGAGTCTCGTAGGCCAACCCGACTCATGGACACCCCAAACGAGTTCAAATAAAAAAGCACTTCATCCATAACCGATTAGTTTATTAATTCGTGTTCAACAGATTGTGTTATACCAAGTTTTTGTCGTGTATGAATTATATATAATCGATACATAAACGAGTCATGTATTACTTTTGATTGGTTTCACTCATATTCGATTCATTTATTAATCATATCTTATCGAGTCCACTTCTTTATATGACCTTAATAGTACGTAATCAATATGTACAAATCCTATAGGGCATGTGATAAAGTCACATCATAGACAAAAAAAGGAAAAAATCTTTGGTCTCCTTTTTCTCTTCTTTTTTCATTTTTTAGGTCATCTAGAAAAGGATTGAGTGGCAAACAAAGCAACTCGCAACAACATCCAAATACAAAACTTGATTCGAGATAAAAGTAAAGTAGCATAAATTCGATCAAATTGTCAATCCGAAGAATGATCCATGCATTGTAATGACAAAGAGTCTCCAAAAAACTTCACTAAAAAAATAAATTCATAAAATAACTCTAAATGGTCAATTTGAATCATTATTATCAGAATTTATTAAACCCTAGACAACCCAAGATCTGGGTATATCGATCCCGAACGAGGTGGGTTCAAGATTCAGATCACCAAAATATAAGACCCTAATTTGTAATACTAATCCTAAATCGATTCACTTTAAAACACGTAGCACAAACAGGGGCGGAGCCAGAAATTTGTTCTAGGGTGGACACACTTAACCAACAAAATTTAATTTTTTCTCCAATCAATAAAAGTATGCCTTCTTTTTTTTTTTTTAAATCATGTTGCATATTTAAAGATTCATTAAATACAAAAGGATCAAACGCCAATATAGGTAGTCTATGCAAACAATACTCAATAAAAAAAGGCTAATTATAACCCTTTGTAAAAAATAAGACTAATTAAAACTATGTACTGTGGACCCTAACAACTTTTCATACTTTAAAAGCATTGTATGATGACATTATTGTATGATAACGTTATCAATAATGTTATCAAAAATGTCTTTCTTTATATAAGTAATTAAGTTAACAATAATCAATTTCAGGCTAAGTTACATCAATTTTAAAAATTTATAGTAATTTCAAACAATTATGAATTGTATATAATTGAGAGTTATCAAAAAAATAAGTTCAATCACTAGTCGTAACTTTTTAACATATTTTCACCTTTCTTTGAGTGAAAAGTGTGACTAATTATTTTTTTGCACAAGATTTAGCTGATCCAAACTTATTAGAGTGGTCAAATTTTTTTGGTTTTTCTTCATAAGAGTGGACCTAATCCCAACTACCTAATAAAAAATCATAAATATAAAAAGGTGAAATTTTTTATTTTTTTTTCAGGGTGGGTGGGCATGTGCCCCCTGGTCTCCTCATGTGCTTCCGCCTTTGAGCATAAATATAAAATACATATTAATTGATTATGTGTATATAAATTTATAATTATATATTATTTTAGATAATAAAAAATTAAACACAAATGTAAGATAAATAGTAATTGACTTAGTGTTTTGTAATGTTCTATGATATATTCTGTTGTATAGTAGTGAAAACGATCTACATAAAAGTTTCAAAACGAATTGCAATCCGTAACACTGTACCAGCTAAGTCTACTCCCATTATACTATGTATCTAAGAAAGTGCCACACCGCATACCCATATTCGTACTACGTACCCATATTGGTACACCACGTACCAAAGCGATAAGGCAGATAATTAAGCTATACATCTGAGGCAACTATCTCCTGTTGCAAATGGAATCCATATCCATAGTATGAATCTGGATTGGCATTCATAAACATAACTCGACATGGTCAATTTGCCCTACAAAGCAGATAATGAAGCTGTACATCTAAGGCAACTATCTCATGTTGCAAATGGAATCCATAGTATTAATTTGGATTGTCACAAAAAGAATTCATATACTGATAGAAAAGACAAATGAGAAGTTCAATGGAAAGTTACCTGATACTAGTCTGCCCGCCTGTATCATGCCCAAAAAAAAAAAAAGGAACTGTTAGAACATAATATTTAACACGACCCTCTTTACTTTTTTGATTAAGCTACTAACATAACTAAGAATAAAATCTAGTGCAAAGATAGTAAGAAAAACTAATCACAACAAGAACTATGATAATTCTACAGAATAACAGATCAAACAAAATATCTAACACGACTTCATTTTTCTTTTTTGGTTAAGAAGTTCACATAACTGAAAATTACATCTTATGCAAATACAGTCAAATATTTGCAATAACAACAGAAACTATAAAAATTATAAAGCACAACAGATAGGCCGTCATGACCTTTTTCCTATAAATGACTAAAACCAAAATTTCAATGAAAACAATTAGTATAAGCTCATCAAATAGACAAACAAATTAGAACCTACAAATGGAAGCTGATAACAAAGACGCTTACGAATGCAGAGCAACTCCGCACATCCACATATTGTTGTCTTTAATGCTCCCCAAATTATGCAAAATAGTGTGGCCCATCACATAAGAATATACCCACATAGTTAAGCTAACCAAGTTACATTGATTCCGTAACGAATTTTTCAAAATAAACCCTGATGCCCCATCTTGAATTCTGGTAACTGCCCACCCTCCCGCCTCTTGTGGTATTTCATAGCATATCAGATGGCCCTTTTGCAAAAATACCACAAAACTTATAGTCAATATGGTGTCTATTCTTTCATTTTCTTAAGCTGAATAAATGAGAAAATCCTAGGACAAGGGAAACAACAGATCAATGGCCAGGCTTCAGTGCACTGCAAGTACACGCATAAATCATTTCAAATAAAGCAGATACATGTTAAAGGAGCTACAGATACTGGTTCAAAAAGTGTGTTAGGTCAATTTGTTTAATAGAAACAGCAATCACATTCAGCTTTTATCAGTTGCCTAACCATGTAACCATCTAATACATAATTAGGTAATGAATTACCTAAATGGTCTTATTTCCATAGTTAGTTGGACCCTTTAAGCCATCACAGATTTTTTTTAATGTTTCAGAGTTTTCAATTTCTCTTACATGTGTGTTTGGGTGCAGGTGGTTGTGGAGGGTGGGTTTAATTAAGTAAGGTTTGTGATGTAGACCGAGGGAAGGAAATCATCTAAACCCAAAACCTTTAAAACACAATAAATGTCCAAACATCACGAGCTATATACATGTATGGATTCCTCAAAATATAAAAGTACTCCCTTTCCCAACAAATATGAGTACCTAAAACCCAAACTTTTCTTAAATGGATTTAAATCTAGCAGTACTGTTCACAGCTTCCCACTAACATTACATAGAACTTGTATGTTCATTTAAGCAATTGCCTTAGCACAAACAAGATCACAGCACCCAAGTGGAAACAAAAAATGAAGCAAATTCACAGCACAGGCAAAAAAATCTCCAGCAATAATGTCTTTCAATTATGGAGTTTTCTGACAAATTATTTCCTCAACATGGTTCTCTAAATTAATCATTTTGCACAAATATCAATAACCCAATAAATTTCAATCGTACCCCTCCATAGTTTATCATATTTTCAAAAACAATTCTTTTATTATTTAAAACATTACCGACACATTTCTAGTTTGTATTTAAACATCCCTAACACTCCTACCATTAAACCACTATTTCTAACCAAAAAAAAATCTAAAATACTAAAATTACTATTACA